TCTTATAATCATAAAGGAATTCTGAAATAGATATTAAAAAAAAAATGACCAGTAAATGAAACTGTTGTATTCAAATGAGATCTTAGCATAGCATGCTGTACAAGAGGATGATGAAAAGGTATATAATCAGTTAAGTGTTTTTTGCTATCTCAGTATACCTAATATTCTAGAACTAATTAAAACATCCATTCAACAATTCTGCATCCATTTAAAAAAAATTCTCATTCTGTATTGCTATAATAGCTGTATGCTAAATTGTCATACTGTTCATTAGGTATGTCAGTTAGGAGATTTTATGAAAAATATGATGTGTTGGCCTAGTTTAAAAAAAAGCATATATTCTTACTGATCCAGTCCTCGTTTAAAATTGTTTGTGCAAGGAGTGGTTGAAGGAACAGAGCATGTGTTCTCTGTGCTGCTGGATTGCTTTGCAGTTTTGTCTAGAACTGAGCACCTTTTTCTTTGCAGGTAATGAAATGTTAATATCTTGCCTAAAGTAGCTATTGCTGATACACCCATTCATGGAAACTCTGTTTTGTGTCAGAAACTGATTGGTTTGTACTTAAATTTCAGTAGTTGGCTGAAATTTGAAATTTATGGTCTTAACATGTTCCCTTCAGAATCTTACAAAGGGCACTTTGGTCCCATTCACTGCGTGAGATTTAGCCCTGATGGAGAGTTATATGCAAGTGGCTCTGAGGATGGTACACTAAGGCTGTGGCAGACAACAGTAGGGAAAACCTATGGCCTTTGGAAGTGTGTAGTTCCTGGTAAGTGTGTGCTTGGTCCTGTCTATCATTAGTGGTAAACACCGAGTTTCATACAGTAACTCCTGTCTTTTGAGGGTTTCTGATTTACTCATATCTGTTAGATTGAAGGATGTACTTCTGTAGCTATTGTGTAAAGAGTTAACATCACACATGTATGCTTTTTGAATATAGGCACTTTGTGGGTATTTAAGCTAAGAGCCTGATGTATTTTTCTCTAAAAAGTGAGAAATATGTGATACCGCTTTTATAATTCTGAAAGAGGGACTCTCTAGAAAGAAGTGTGGGTGGTAGTTTTATTTTATATTGTACTCTGGTTCTTTTAGCTTGGGGAGAGGGAGGCAATAACTACATGTGGACATTCGTTAATAGAATTACTCACTCAAGTGTTTCTCCTCAACATGGAAATTACTTTTTTTTTTAAGTTAAGGTGGGTGAGTAGAACTGAAGGTATTGACTGGTTTTCTTCTTTCTCTACAGAAGAGGAGAATGCAGAAGCAGCAAAAGCAAGGACTACCCTTCCAGGAACTGCAGAGGAGGAAGAAATAGGTAATGAGCTGAACTGTCAGCTTCAACTGCCTCAGTGTTAAAAGATAGTCAAGATGATAGCATCTTCCTTAGTATAGAAGAAGTACTTTCCCTCAAGTGCTTTCTGGTATTTTTCACTCTTTTCAAAAGATCTTTGCATACATTTGCCTGACATTGATTATGTGGTGTCAGGCTGGTGACTGGAGCTCTGCAGGCAGAACAGATGGGGTAGAACAGCTGGATCAGGTTGAATGAGAAAACAAACTGAACTGGTCCCTTTAAGCAATCCCTGCAACATTTCTTTGGTTTATATATCTAAAATGAAATTAAATAACACCTTTTTTATTTAGTTGCAGAAGAGATTGCCTCTGAAAACTCAGATACAGTGTACAGCTCAACTCCTGAAGTGAAAGCCTGATTACTGCAGCTGTTACGTGACACGTGGACATGTGAGACTAAATCAAGTGAGCAGTGACAGACAGCAGCCTTCCAGAGTGCGCTCCCTGCGTGGGGCAAAGATGGGCAGTAATTGATGAGAATGCGGTGGAACTGGCTAGGTGTTGTCTGTAAGAGAACTGAGCATCCAAATAAAAACCCAAAAGGCAAGTAGTAGAGTTCTGCTGGCTTTTTGGCATAACTGCCTACTGTCTTTTCAAAGAAGTGTGCAAGCCAAGATCCAGTCTCTCCAATCTCAATTAGACTCATTGTAGTGTGTTTTCATTATTACGAAGAAGAGATACAATGGCTTTTACCTTTTTTTTTCCCTTGAAAGTTGGAAAAATTGGCTCTGGTTGAAAAGAAGGGATTATGTACTTAAAAGTATTTGGTTTGGGTTTTGTTTCCTTGTATGCTACTTCTGAATGTTTAACTGTTTTCAGTTGTCTAAATAAAAAGCCTCTCCAAATTCATACATTACTTTTGAGTGTTGGGTTCATGAAGTGGAAAAGCAACATTAATCACGTAATCCTTGGCATCTTGGGTTTGTACTATACAGAGAGAAAGCAAAAGAATGTTTTAGTCTTGGTACAGAGGGTGGCAAGTTCTTTGATCTGTAAGCTTTGTATCTTTTTATTCTTTAAAGTTTGAATGTAAACATGAGTCTCTAAAAAGAAAAACAGTGAAAATCCTTAAATTAAGTGTGCTGCCTGAAGTATTTGGTTATACATGAAAATAGGAGCGACTGGCTGCAAATCTGTGTGAAGCTTGGGTTTAGTCCTCCAGACTGGGTAAAAAAGTTACTCTTTCAAGGTTACGAATCATATTTTCTCCATTAAAGAAAATAATTGCCATTCTTCCACTTGTCATTTCCTTTAATGTTATGCTGAAAGTTTTACATTATATATTCTGTGTGGTAAGAAGAAAGAGGTATATTTATTCACACATCTTTTTTTCATATTCCTTCTTGGCCTTACTGTCCTGTTTTTGCAGACTATACCTATTTGCAATTACCTATTTGAATTTTATTCTAAAAACAAGCAACTCTGATTTACAGCTAAATGGATAAGTCTTGCTAATTCCACTAAGGCTTTTGAGGACTCCATATCTAGTACTTGAGCATAAAAATTTTATTTTAGAAATTGGATGTGTTTAAAATTAGGAACTTCAAACACCTTGCCCCATGGTGAAACTTGTGTGCTGTGGGTTTTATTCCATTTGCAAGCTCTATAGCATTTCATAGAGAGGTCTGGAATAGAATCTCAGAATCATTTAACTGGGGGAAAAAACTTTTATCCACAAGTTCAACTGTTAACCTAGTTGTTCCCAAGTTCACCAGAAAACGATGTCCCTCATTCTGCATCTACAGCTTGCTCTGGGATGCATAAAAATGAAACAGATAATAGTCATAGAAATCTGTGGGAAATAACACGCTGGAGCACGGTGTGGATGAGTGGAGGCAGAGATCTCTCAAGTTTGCTCTTGAGGAAAGAGGTTTATTGGGGGTGCAGGAAGGTCCGTGCCTCCTGCTCTTAGGCGCAGCACGTGGCCGGGCCTGGGGGGGGAGAGGGCAGAGACAAAAGGAGAAGGGTTCAGGAGGGGGGAAGAGGTTCCAAGAGGAGATGAAGTTCCAAGAGACCTCATGGCCCCTTGAAGCCTTCTTATCAGGGGGGCTTTGAGGTGGGTTGGGATGAGTCATAGCCAATGGGGTTACAGGCACTTGATGTTTTAGGGGAGGGTACAGAGGTGTGGGGTGAACCATACATCTTTTGGGGGGTGGGATGGAACAGTCCATTTCACCCCAGGACCCATCCAAAGGCAGGGGTGTCATCCGGCCAGCTGGGAGAACTGTTCTCATCCTGGCTGTATTATTTATGAACAATCATATTTATCTATCATCTGCAACATAAATCTAATACTTAGTAATGGCTACTAAAATACTGGAAGAAATGAAAAAAACCTGACAAAACTAAAGTACTGTTGTGAGCAAATGTTTGAAAAATCACCAGTAAGGGTATCGGCAAAACCATATTTAATATTAAGCAACGGGACAACAAAGTTGGTTGGTAAGACTCACTCACGCCAAAGAAAAACAAGCAATAACAAAGCCAAACAAAATCCAGGCAATAAAACCAGAAATTAACCAAGTACTGTCTAGAGGGATGTGTGTGTGTTAGGTGCCTGTGGCAAAAGGTTAGTGAGGGTGAGGATAAAAAGAAATAAGCTTTTAGGCCTTAACAGTACTCAACAGTAATGTTAACTTCTACCTTAAACCTAACAATTTAACAGAACAATTAAGACCACAGGATTTAATCTAATTTAGGGCTTAACTTTATTTACCAGCCTAATTTACTTTGACATCTAAGGAAACAGTGTTTCATCCCAGACACAGCTAGGGTCTGCACTTCATATGAAAGTGTGGGAGCAGGGATGTTATGCCATTCAGGCAAGAAAAATAATTTCCAAGGCTGTTCATAGGGGAAACGAGCTTGTTAGCAGCAGTTCCTTAAAGCAGTGTTTCTCAAGAGTATCTGAACCCAGTGCTATTTGTCAAGGCCAAGGCATCACAAGTATTTCTTAGATGACAGTGTAGCCTGGAAAAGGGGGAGGAGGAGGAGGATTCACCACCACAAGTACCTGAAAGCTTTTAATTTTTTGGACTGCTTTGACGGGTCCTAAAGTACACAGCACAAATAGTATATATACTTCTAGAGTGACTGCTGTCTCTCAAACCATTGCTTCTCAAAACACACAGGCAGTTTTGGCATGGGAAAAGAAAAAAAAAAAAGTGTCCTCAGGTTTCAGAGCTATGACCCCTTCCTGCTTTACCCGATGCCGTTGTGAGTTTGAGGTTTCTGTAAGTTGGAAACTGTTTCATCTAAACGTCAGTATTAACAATGTGCATCATATTTTCTGTGAGACTTTGTGGGTTTTTTCCCAGATCTGGAAAGAAATGTAAAGGCTATGAAGTTTTCAGTGGCTTTGTTACCCAAATCTGCAGGTACCACTAGAAGTTTTACAGGTTGGCTGTTTATTAACCCCGTGCGGACGTGCGGCACCAGCTCCTCCTTGAGGAGTCAACACGAAGACGCCGGACAGTGCCATGATTAATCCCCACGCCAACAGCAGGCTCGGCGTTTCCGAAGGAACGGAGGGAAGGAGCATCCCCGCAGCAGCGCCGGCCGCCCGCCTTGCCCGGCGCGGTGCGCACGTGGCACCGGAGCTCCGGGGCGGCGCCGCCGCTTCCTGCCCGTGTGGGGCGGGCCCGGAGCTGCGCCCGGCCGCGCCGCGGGGCGGGGAGCGCGGGCATGGCGGGGCGGAACCCGGGCACCGAGCTGGGTAAGCGGCGGCCGGCGGGGCCGGGGGTCCCCGGGGGGCGCTGCGGGTCCCGGGACGGGCGGGCGGGGCTGACCTCCGGCTCCCCGCGCCCGTCCGAGCCCACTCCGGGCGGCTGCGGGACCGCGTTCCTCCGAAAGCCGAAACAGGAACGGCGCTGGGGTTCCTGTGGGTGCTCTGGCACACTCCCGTGACGCGTAACCGGGAGCAGGCTTTGGGCTGCGGGCTAAACACGAGTTCCGTGTCACACGTGGCTTTGGCCTGAGGGGCTCGGAG